GAGAGAGAGAGAGAGAGAGAGAGAGAGAGAGAGAGAGAGAGAGAGAGAGAGACTCCTTTCTAACTTAAAGATCAATGCTTTTCTACTCGACGTCTGGGCAAAAATATCTTAGCGAGTGAGAGGCAAGCCTGCAGGGTGGCAGTTGTGGGTATGGTTTTTAGAACCCGTGCTCTCGTTCAGGCTGGGCACGGACTCTAGTAGCCCCCTTGCTACAGTTTTTCTTTTCTTTTTCAGCATAATTGTGGTAAACAGAGTCACCTGTCTGCTCTGCTCTGTTCTGCTCCTGTGACAGGCAAAGAAACTGGAAACGCAGACTTGAGCTGGGCTTCTGGTTTGCTTACAGAGAATGTCATTCATTGTTAGCTGAGAGCCCTTGGGTCAGAGGTTCTTTGCTTAGAATATTTAATATCAAGGCAGTGTTCTTGCATGGCCAAGGAAGCCAAGATATGCCTGTTTGGCAAGCAAACCACGGTCTTGAAAAACAAGCTGCAGAGAATCAAAACTCTGGTAAATGTGCTGGGGAAATTCATTGCCCCCCCCCCCAGCACTGTTGACTTTTTTCTTTTTCTGTAATAGAACTTTCTTGGCTTCCAGAAACTTTCTGTGTTTGCTAATTTAAGCTATAGCTAGTAGCTCTGTGTTCAGCCACTTTCTTGCCCTGATTATTATAAGGGAAGAATTAAAAACAGACAACCCTCCCCACCCCTCACCTCCGTCCCGTGACATCATCGAAACTGAACAAATATTGCTTTGGAAATTGCAATGAAACTCTCCCACTGGCAGATTATAGATTCAGGGAGTTTGTTTTTTGAGGGGAGCAGTTGTGGCACTAACAGTGTGTAATTTACCACACAAGTCTGGAAATTAACTATGCTTAGCACCTTGACATAGAGCAGATCTAGGCTACAAACCGGGAGGCAGCATCCTGGGAGAGGCAGGTGCTTTGGTTCTAATGTAGTGAGACTGATGGATGGCTTTTTCTGCTGTTTTCTGTGGTTTCTAAGTCTCAAAGCCAACAGCAGGTGGTGGCATTGCCAGGCCATTTCAGCATCCCTCTTTCCTGCCTAGGGACCAAAAGAAACATGTGGTCCTGTCTTCCCAAACTATAGCCCCATTCCGGTTTAGACCCAAGTTCTATATAATGCAGGACAAGGAAAACCTCTGAAGTCTCTCAATTTAAAGTTGGCCCCTTTAACTTTAAATTGCAGCTGCAGGAGCAGACTGCACAATAAATAAAGTGGTAGCATGGAGGGACAACTCCTACACTCCCACACGGACAGTCTGAGCATCCACTTTAGAGTTTTAGCCTCTTCTTGTGATTGATTTCTTGTGATAGACTTAGCAGTCTCTCCCCTGCAGAGCCTTACCACAATAGCCCAGGGCTAGGAGCATGTTTGATGATACAGACACTTGTTTTCTAAATAAGAGAAACATCAAAAAGGTGTGCAGGACCCCTGGGCTTGTGAAGGACAGAGGAAGTGTCCATGTGAAAGAAAGTCCCAAAACGTAGTGTACCCCCACCAGAGGGCCCCTGTCAGAGTAATTGAGTGCAAAGACTCACTGGTCATCCCTGCAGTTTCAGAACATTACTTAATGTCTCCTCCCCTTTGCAGCTTTCCCAGGCTAATGCCTTAGGCTGTCAGCTGGTGTCATTTTTCCTGGGTCATTGATTCCCCACCCCACCCCCACTCTTGGAGAGCCTACCATCAGATCTCTTCATAATCCAGAGGCTGCATGGTGGCCCGCCCTTCCCCTCTGTGCTTGTGACTTGGGCTAATCACCCCCAAGACTGCTGAGGCCCAGGCTCTCTGACACCCTCTTCTCTCTGAAGATTTGAGGCTTCCCAGCTGTGGTGGCCACTGAAAGGCTACTATCCCTGCATTAAAAAATGTATTCTATGGTAGGCAAGGTGGCTCAGTGGGTACAGGAGCTTGCCACCAAGCTTGATGACCTGAGTTTGATATCTGGATCCACATGGTTGAAGGAGAGTTGTTCTCTGATCTCCACACACATGCTGTGGAATGTGTGTATGTGCACAAACACACAAAATAAATAAATGTGTGTATATATATATATATATATTTTCTATATATAAAATATATATTTATCTTTATAAATTTATATTTATAAATATAAAATATATTTGTAAATATATATTTATAATATAAACATGTATATGTTACACACACACACACACACACACACACACACACACATATATATATATATATATATATA